CTCAGCTTCGGACACTACGAGAGCATAAGAGCAGCGTCTAGTGCAAAGCATGCGTAATTTTTGCCAGAGGCAGCAATACAGTAAAGACTCGCCTTAAGGAACAGTTTCTCTTGGGAAATGGAAGGGGCAAAGGAGCTGAGGCACTCAAGATTAACTGACTCCATATGGAGGCTGGTTTCGGGAACTAATTTGATCAGCTCGTCAGACTGGTTCCATACTGGCTCCTTTATCCAGGCTCAGTTCATGAGAGTATGTTTTTGTTCCTGTGCTTCCCATAGTTCCTTGTTCATCTTTTTTATCCTCTTCTGTTCAGTTTCACTGTACCTAAAACAGCCGCACATGTGCCCGTGACGTACTTCTGTTAAATATGTATATACACACACGCGCACACACACACACCCACAGAAGCACCACCACTCACCCACCCACACCCCTCACCTATGGCACAGCCTGCGGCTAAGCTGTCCGGCAACGAATTGCGTTTTGATTTTGCATGGACTTTTAGTCAGAATGAGAAGAAGGAGAAGAGTAGGCAGAAGTAGAAGAAAAGGCATAAAAAACAAAACTTAAATTGTAAATGCTATTTGAAATTTGAGGCACGCTTGTGTGTGCGTATGCGTGTGCAGCTGATTCCATTTAAATTTTGGAGTTGACTTTAAGTTTAAACTTTTCTTTAAATAACAAATTTTAGAAAATCGCAATAAATAACAGCAAAACTCATCAGCCTAATACACAAGGGAATTCGCATGACAAGAAATATGAAATGTATATGTATATATGTACATATGCTTGTTAATTAAACGTTGGTTGACATAGCGTTTCGACATGGGCAAGTGATATTCATAGAATAATTTGAATTTGGCGCGCTTTGTAATTACTCAATATGAAAGCACAACGTTGGCAGCGTTAAGTTCATAGCATGCGTTGCCAACTATTATTAATTATCGATATGTTTGGTTTTAGCACAATTTGACGATTGAACGACTTAGTTCGGCTCATGAACTATGAACTATGAGTTAATTGCTCACCAATAGATAAATAAAATTATATTATAAATGTATTTGCCTTTATATATATATATATGAACCTATCTTAATTTTTAGTAAATTATTTAATTGAATTGAACTAGATATAGTCACTGCATTTGTATACATATACAATTTAATTACTTACGTATCTATATGAATATGGAATCGTAACCAAGCCAGAATATGTTTTATTTATACGATGATATATATATATAAAATATATATGTATATTTATTTTTAATCTTTTTCCCTTTTCTTTTGTTAGTTAGTTAGTGGCTTATTTACACATTTTTTTTCCAAATTTAACGTATTAAATGATAAAATACTAAATGCGTTTGGTATTTGAAAAACTGGCTGAACAATCTGTTAAACGGAACTAGTTCTATCGATAGAAAGCAAGCGCCAAGCGAAAAGAACGTTCGAAAAAAGACTCCTGTCAAACAGAAAAAGGCTCGCGTGAAATTAATAAGCAACAAACAGAATAAAAGTCGGTAAAATGAGTCCGCTTCGCTGTCACGATGGTGTCGACACACTTAGCAGCAGCAGCAGCCGCAGTAATAATAACAACAACAATCAGAATGGCGATTCGCCTATTCTGTCCGTGGTGTTGCCCGCACAGGAGGCGGCGCTTGCGCAGGCGATTGGCTACGTGCGTGACTTTAGCAGCCAGGCGGCTGCGTATCATCAACTGAAGACCGAGGAGTCGCTGGTGCATCTGCAGCGCAGCATCGCCTTGCTGGGCACCAAAGTGCAGCCGCATTGCTTTGCACCAACTCCTGGCCAACTGGAGCTGGCCAAATTCTTCATCGATTTGCATGCACTGATGAGCACCCTAGACGCGGACTGCGAGGCCATGTGGAGCTGTGTCTCCCTTCTACAGCACTGCAGCAGGAACTTGGAGGCTCGTCTCGCTATCGTGCAAAATTATTGCTTTGTGCCGCTGCTGAGCTACTTGCTGAAGCGAACGGAGCGGCCTGAGCGCGTGCAGCGCCTGCTGCTGCTGCTGCAGGATCTCACATATGGCATACGTATTGGATGGGAGGAGCCGTATCTGGTGGTGCTGCTGGAGCATCTGGTCGATCTGCTGCACAACGTTGAGGAATGCGACACCAGCGCCACAAACGTCGACAATTCACAGGCGCAGCTCGCCCTGTCGATACTCGTGAATCTCTGCTACAAAAACTTTGTGGTGCTGTTTCTCTTTCTGCGCAGCGTCAACATCTCCAGCTTCAGTAAGCGCATACAGAACCATGGCCTGCTGGCCTATAAAATGCTCATCATCCTGTCGGAGGATGTGCACTCCCTGGAACAGCGGGAATTGCATACATTCCTGCGCACTGCCTTTGCCGGCATCGAGGATTGCCTGAAGCAGTGGCATGTGCCACAGTTGCGCCACATTGTGGACTTTCTGCTGGACGCACAGTGCCATGCCGGATTGCAGCGTGCAATGCTGAGCTACTCGCACTACTGCGAGGACACTGAGCGGCTGTTGAATGTGAGTTGGAATCCCGATCTCTGTTATAGATACCTAATCTCTCCCTCCCTCTCTCTCTCTCTGTAGCAAATTGAAGCGCGACGCCAGCTGGACGACTCGAACGAGGATATGCGCAAGCAACAGCAGCTCTGCCTGCAGCTACTCATGCAGCTCATCAGCCACATACTGCAGCTGTCCGAGGACAATAGCATCATAAGCCTGGATGCCATCACGCCGCGCATTTACGAGCTGGTTTGCGACTGGCTCGAGTCGGATCTGTGCGGCGTGGCGGCCATTGAGCTGCTCGGCTCGCTGCTGAAACTGGACAAACGGGCCACAATCGTGCAGCTCATTGCCAAGGAGCCGGCCAATGTGGTCAAGCTGATGGCCAGGGCGGAGCGCAGCGAGACAAAATCCGCCCATGTCTCGGCCATACTTCGGCTGCTGCTCTTGCTGCTGTGCGAGTCCAAGACCGAGAAACTGGTGCTATCCAAAATATCTGAATCCTATTTCGATAAGATACTGGCCGCGCCATTGGCGCTGCTCCCGCAAATGCTGAGCTGCCAGACCCTGGCCCAATCCGAGGTGGAGAAGGCCATCTACTGCCTGCTGCTGTTGATCAACTTTGCCAGCATTGCCAAGAAGGCCTACTTGGACAAGTGCTGTGCGCTGCTCGAGCAGCCGCAGCTCCAGTACGCTCTGGCTCGTGCCATGCTCAGCGGCAACGAGCAGCTCGTGGCAGCCATGCTCCAGATAGCGCAATTCGAGCACTTCCCTAAGGCAGCTGTTGCCAAGGTAAGCCAGCTGCAAGTCAAATGCACCCGCTATTCCATCTCTCAATCTTCCAATTGATTTTTTTTCGATTTACAGTATGTATCACGCATTGGCAGCAGTGGCCAGGGCTCGCCCACGGCTAGCAGCGAGCAAGCGGAGCAGTGGCGCAATTTGAGCGCCATTCTGAAGAGCCATCGCACCTTCATGGACAGGGAGCTGGCGCAGCGCGTGAGCACACTCATCGACACCATTGGCCAAACGTTGCGTCGCAATGAGCTGCAGTCGGCGCCTGTGTCGCAAGTGATCGAGTTGTACAATCATCGCATCGACAGCCTCAACTGCACCACCCACAACATGCAGCAGCGTCTGGAGCAGGCCAGCGTTCAGCTGTGCAACAGCACGCAGCAAATAAATGTACAAAATGCGGAGCTGGAACGCTTTCAGACCAAGAACTTTGAGCTGCTCATCAGCCAGGAACGGTGAGGGACCTTCACCCAAACAACTCCAACTCCAACTGCGGCTAATATCACATTGTCTCCTTCTCTTTGGCAGTTTGCAAACTCAGTGCAAGGATCTCAAAGCGCAGGCGGCGCAACTGAAGACAAATCTCAGCGACTTGCTCAAACGTTGGTCGGAAACATCCGAGCACCTGCAGGCCAGCGAACGTCGTCTTTCGGTCAAGCAGTCGGAGATTGCGGACCTGCAAAAGGACTGCGAGGAGCTGCGCCGCAATCTCGCCGCCAAAAGCGAGGAGCTCGTCAAACTGGAAGCGCTCAGCAAAGATAATGTAAGCATTAAGCATCACAACAAGTGTCGGCCATGATATTAACAACTCTTGCTCTGTTAGTGCTCCCGCATCGAAAAGCTGAAGAAGTCCGTGATTGCCTACGAGCAGGACATCAAGGAGAAGCTACGCACCATTGACGAACGCACCACGGAGCTGGCCAAGACACAAAAGGCGCTCGAGGAGCAGCGTGAGGCACGCAAGAAATCGGAGGATCTGGTCAGCGTGCTGGAGACACAGCTCCAGGAGAAGAAGGAACAAATCGAGAATCTCGAAATGGAGCAAAAGGAGACAGAGGATCTGCGCAAGACCATCCTCAGCCTCATGGAGAGCAAAAAGCCCAAGCGCAAAGCCTAAACAATCACCATCGTAAATGTCTTCAATATGTAGCCACTTTTTTTTTTACCACCCACCTAATTGACTAAGTTGTGTTTAGTCTGACAATTGCGCGCGTATAAAACACAATTACATCTTGTTTAGTATTAAATAAAATAAAACAAAAATTCCAAGCGATTTTTTAAAGAGTAAAATTCAATTTTCAAAGACATCATAGAGTGTGAGTGTGAGATCCCCATATAAAGTATAATTGGGAAATCATTATATATTGATAGCATATGCATATATTATATTCATATATATTCTTGAGCCAAGTTGAGTTGGCTGAAATGCCAGCCCTATCCAAGAACTTTTCTAACTGACTGCTCTTACTCATATATATACAGATAGATAGAAATATATGTATATAGATCGTTTCTCTCTCCAGTTAGTTCCAATTAAAACTCGGTTGTTATTCAAGCGTTTTCTTTGTATATACAATTTTAATGCAATTTACAGCAACTGGCAATTGGTTGTTGTTGCCAGCGGTTGTTGTTGTTGTTGTTGTTGTAGCGCAAATGATCAATCAAAATAATAATAAGAAAAGAAAAGAGAAGCGAACAAGTCCATTACAAATTCCAATTTAACCGAAACAAAATTAATAATGTTATATGTATAATAATATGGTAGGATAAAAGCAAGATAATATATATTAAATATTATATAAATTACAAGATAGTGCATTATACATGGGATTTGCATGTGTGTAATTGTGTCTCTCTGTGTGTGTGTGTGTGTACAAGTGTGTTTATCAAATTTACTAAATGTTCACTAAATTGTGCACATGCACAATCATCAACTATGGGTTCTTAAATAACTAACACCAGCTCACATTGCTCAGGAACAGGAACATCTGCTCAAGCGTTAAGGAAGAATTCTTGGAAAATAAATCTCATATATATAAACGTTATATATATATATAATTTATAAAAGTAAAAAAAAAAAACATTGAAAGCGCAGCTCAGGAAGCAAATGTTACAATAGTTAAATGGAAGTGAAACAAAGCTAAAATGAAAACTCACAAAATGTTTAAAAATTGGAATGGCTGCAAATTTCGTTTTGTATAATCAGAGTGCCATATGTATATTTATATGTATAGATACAGATATATCTATACTTACATACATATCTATCTAGCAATATATACAGCTCGCGGTTTGGAAGCAAGTCCGAGACAAAAGTGGAGTAAAATGTTGCGGGATCGTTGTTTAGCAACAACAAATTGGCAAACTTTTTAAATTACAGTTAAGACAATATTACAATAATATATATATATATACATACACATATATATGTATATGCATATACATACATTTATATAGATTGGGTATCAAAAATTATATGCTAAATGTATTCCATGTAATGTCTGCAATATATCTCTCTCTATATATATATATCTACTTGTGTGTGTGTGTGTGTTTGTGTGTGTGTCCCGACTGTTGACTACTACTTGATCACCCCCTCTTGCCCCCTCCTTGCGCTCTTTGTCAATCCAATGCCAGAGACACATTCGCTTAGGAGCCAAAGTGCTCCTTGTCCTGATCGATGGTAGCAAACTCGTAGCTGCCACGCCCATCGAATTGCAAATAGTAATCGTGATGCACCCAGAGGGATTTACGATGCGACACAGTGAAGAGCGTAATGCCCACCTCACGGCAATAGCTGTACATCTTGCCCTCAACATCGACGGACACGGCGCTGGTGCACTCGTCCAGTATGGCGAACTGCGGCTTGTGGTAGAAGAGACGGGCCATGGCAATGCGCTGCTTCTCGCCACCAGAGAGCACATCGATCCAGTCCTCGATCGCATCGAGTCCATTCTCGCGCTGCTCCAGATACGTTAGCTGTACAATGTCCAGGAAGTGCAACAGATCCTCATCCGATTTGCCCAGACGACGCATATCGTCGCGTGTATGGGGATAGATGATCTGTGGAAAGAGAAAGGGGAAGAGCGAGAGAGAGAGGTTATGAATAATTGTGATGACTGCAAAAGAGAAAGAGCGACAGGGGCACAGAACGCCGGACAGAGAAAACGAGAGGAAGAAAAAGACAGATACAAAGAGAGATACATAGATAGATTCAAAGGGAGACAGACATATAAAAAGGAGAAAAACGAGAACGTTAGAGTGCGATAGAGAAATATAGAAAGAGATATACAGCAAATATGCAATATAAACTGAATGCTGAAAGAGATGGAGAAATATAGAAAGAGTAGCAGATATACAATATAAACTAAATAGTGAAAGAGACAAAAAGAAAGGGAGAAGGAGACAGATAGATAGATTAAAAGGTAGACAGACAGATAGAAAGGAGGAGAATGAGAACGACAGACAGTGATAGAGAAATATAAAATGAGTAGCAGAAATACAGCATAAACTGAATAGTGAAAGAGAGAGAAAGAGGGAGAGAGAGACAGCCTATCGAGCTTTATGATCAAACTGCATTTGAAAGACATAGACATAGATACATATGCTCATGTAAAGAAGGGCATGCCCAGAGCATAGCTCCTACAGCTTATGGATAGGAAATGAGCAAAGAGAGCTCGGCTGGAGATTCAAATATAAATCGCCCATTACCTGATCACGCAAGCTGCCCAATGTCATGTACGGACGCTGGGGAATGTAGAAGAGTTTGCCGCGCGACGGCTTGGTAACCTTGCCACCCCACGTGGGCCAGAGCTCGCCGAGAATGCGGAAGAGCGAAGACTTGCCACAGCCATTGGGTCCGCAGACGAGGACATTGGTGCCAGATCTACAATGAAAGAGCAAATGCCCAAATGAAATAAAATGGATAATGGAGCGACCCACACACTCTACTCACTTCACTTCAAAGGTGAGCTCCTTCAGCAGAATATCGCCATTGGGCGTGACCAGGGGCACCTGCTCGAACCGTATGATATTGTCCTCGAAGCACATGATGCCCTTGTTGGGGCCGAAGCTGCTGGCGGTGGCATTGGGGCCGCCGTTCTGGGTGATGCTGTTCCCATTGACCATGGTGCGCTCGTAGGTGCCCTTGTTGAGATCGCTCAGCACCTTGATCAGTTCGGTCATGCGGGCCGTAAAGCCGGCCAAGCGGGACATCTCACGGCCAGCCAACACCAGCCGGCCAATGGCCTCGGCCAGCTTGACCAGCATCCGGCCGTATGTGTAATAGGCCTGCAAACGCTGTCCGCTATTCTCGCCGGACAGCAGCGGATGGTTCTCCGAGAAGAAGGGCAGGGACACAGCATAGAAGCCCACAATCGAAGCGAAATCTGAAAGCAAATATTCAAAGAGAATTTAAGTATAGGATTATGTAATAGATATAGTAATAGTAATTACAGAGCGATATACATCAACATATAACTCACATTTGCCAATGATGTTGTCGATGATGCCCATGCTGACACGGAACTCGAGGAACTTGCGCAGATGCGATCGCAGCTTCGAGTAGCTGGCGAGCAGAGTCAGCTTCTCGCGGACATTGCCCTGGTAGAAGGCGACCTCCTCGGAGTTAGTGATCAGCCTGCTGTTCACATAACGGAATTCACCCTCCAGCTTCTGCTCCTCGACGGTCAGACGGCCCGTTGGACGACGCAAACGTGTGAGGAATACGCCAGCAAACAGCAGATACAGCATCAGTATGGACGGTGTCTTTCCGCCCAGATTAACGGTCAGCCTGTACACATAGATGAAGATGTCCAGCACCGGTTTGCTGATGTTCGAATACAGATCTGTGGCACTCTCACAGAACTTGTCGATGTCAGTGGTGAGCAGCTGATCGGCATTCGCTATTCGGTTATCCAAATTCGACATTTTGTAGTACGTATAGCCACTGAACAGGGAGAGGAGAGATGGAAAGTTCGAATTGGATTAAATATACAGATATAGATAAATATATATATATATATATATATATATATAGACAAATATGTTGAGGTGTTGAAAGAGTCCTTCTTTTCTTTCATTCCCAACTAAAATGGGAGCTCTACTCAGAGAAAAAAACAAATGAAAGATCTATGAAATTCATATAAAAAAGATTTCCCTATATTCCTGACAAGCTGAAAAGAAAACTAAGAAAAGTATAAATCATTCATTAAGATGAAGTGTAGTTCAGTGACCTGATCAAGATTGATCTGATTAAGATTATACATACTTAATATATTTAACAATTTTAGCTTCTATCTACACCTTCCACCTTAGTTACTAAGTTTCTCATTAGTAAAAGCTAAAAGCTACTAAAAACTCTACACAGTCGCAGCAGCTTTCATTAAGAACGAATTGCTGGATCATAGATCTAGCCCAAGTTTAATTATGTCAAAGTATATTTGATCTTTAGAGTATTACGTCTAATGAGCTCTCGCCCTCGGCCTGTCTGCCTGCCTGCCTCCCTCTCTCGCTCTCTCGACAAGTCATAAGTGCGTCCAAAAATAGATTATTAAGATCATAGATCATTAGATATACGAGTAGGCGATGCCATGTGCTGGGAGACATTCGAGCTTGGGTCTGAGTCTGGGTCCTGACTCGACATAGCCACAATCAATATAATTAATGCTTAAAGTTTGCTTTAAAAATTAGAAGATTGCATTGTTGACACAGCTGTTAAATAATTATGTGATTTTGTATATCATAATATCATATTTTTAAAATTTTCCATTTTCAATTTTCTAGTTTACGATGTCGAAATTTCTCATTCTCAATTAACTCGGAGGTTAATACTTTCTTTCATTTTCTTCTCTCTTCAAACTTTCTATCTTTGATCAAGATTCTCTCGTACATTCTCTAGATCCGTTTAGCTCTACTTACTTGAGGTACTGATTGTACAAATGATGGGTTAGATTTGTGCGAAAACGCAGCTTCAGCTCGCCCAGACTCCACTTCAGCACATTCGTAACCACAGAGATCTACAAAGAGAAATCCTTAGTGAAGGCCATAATGACAATCAATTGCGCACATACCGCTGGTAGCGCGGCTAAATATTTCAGTAGAGCCGTCTTAAATTTGGCCCGATTCATATGTATTATGGTGCTCTCCACAACGGTCGCATTCTGTATCATCCAAATGTCACTGACGGAGCGACCAATCAGCGCGCCAGCGATCAACAGCAACAGACCCGTCTCAATGCTCCAGAATCTGGGTATGAGTATGGCTAAAGATAAGTATAAGAATATGATCATTAGCAATTTCAAGCTCTTTATCGCCACTATCTATTACTTACGCAGCAGCTGTCTCAGCTGTTTGAAGAATACTGAATTCACATGTGCCTTGCTCGATTTTTTGTCCTTCTTCTCCGATATGGTATACTGAATTTTTTCCTCATAGGCAGATTTCCTGTGAAAAATAGAATTGTATTTGTTGTATTTGGATTTCTTTAATATATATATTACTATTTTACTATTTTAAAATATTTATGGAATCAGTTTATAATTCTCTCGAATATTAATAATACTCTTAAGCTTAGTCGAAATTGTAACTTTAAAATGGGTCTCAGAATGTTGTCAAAATTCATTATAAAAATGTACACGCAAAACTGAGAATTTTCTATTTGATTGTAGTTTCAAGTTTCGCAACTTCATTGAATCTGGGAATTCTACACAGACCTTGTAACAGCTATACGGCTATCATTTATCCCATTCGTCAAACTGTTATTATAGTGTATTACTATACATTAAGTGTACATACATACATACATACATACAGAGATATATATGTATATTGGTTTATATACATATAGGTAAGTTGATACTACATACTATTAAAGTCCATTTAAACTGCATTTTAATGATTATATTGGAATTGCAAAGTTTTGCAGCTGGTTCTTCCAGAAAACAGAATGAGGTAGGTCTGTTTTTATGATAATTAAATAGCATATGCATATATAAATTTGTATATATATATGTGTGCACATAGAATATACAATTATATATACCTGATTACTGAGCTATCATTAAGACTGCACTTAATCACGATTGAGATATTACTCATGTCTTATTCCCTGAAAACGAGAAGTTACGACGGCTCTTTCGCATTTATTTAGAGACGTGGCATACTCTATAAAAAGTAATTTATTATTCTATATACAATATATGTATGCGTATATATATTTTATCATCTGTGCGTGCACATGAACCCAGCTACAAGGCTAGAGATATAAATAAACTTAGCAATAGAAGTTTATCATTTATTTTCGATAAACCCGTAGCATTTATCATTATAGATAAAAGTGGATATTTTATTGAGACAATAATAGAAAATCCAAAGTTTTCTAAGCAATTTTCTTTGATGTTTAGCATATCATATTTCCTATAGTAGATACTGCCCAACTGTATGTGTGCCTAGAGGGTAACTTCTAGTCGGCTACACTTGAATGCAACAACCTCTTTTGCTCATTTGATTGATATCTTGATTGCTTTGCACGGATCCGGATGTTATGTAGCCGATCAAAAGGTCAGACACTTTCATATTTATGCGTATGTGTGTGTGTGTGTGTGTGTGATTGTGGAACGCGTCTGTGGGTGGCCATCAAGACACAAAGTGCAAAGCTCGCTTATCAGAAAGGTGTTTGGAAAGGCCAGCGTATATCAGCGGCTTATCGTGACTTGTGGACTGTGATTATGAAATATATATATATATATATATATGTGTGTGTGTGTGTGTTAGCGCGCGAGTGTGTGTGTGCCTCGACTGTGGAACCTGTGGGTGGCAGTCAAAAGACAAAGTGCAAAGTGCCCGCTCGCATTCCACTGCGGCTGTGGACCGAGCAGCCTCATACGAATTTGATGATTGGCGATGACTTGCACTTAATTCTGTAGACACAACATTCTTTTTCAGGCTTCTTCTTCTCTTCCTATTCTCCTTCATCATTAGTTGTTGCTGCTGCCATTTGTGTGTGGGCAAAGTGTTGAGGTTTTATTGCTGATTTGCTCATTTCTATCAATTCCAACGCATTGACACACGCACACACACACACTAGCACACACATACACACACATATGCATTGTGTTTATATTAAAACTATTGTTGAGTGCGAGTGTGTGAGTGAGCATGTGTGGGGCAAGGGGTGAGACGTGTAGCACGTGTTCGGGTCCGTAGGTCGGTCAATCGCATTTGATGATCAACGATGCCGTTGACTCGTACTTTCGTATTTACTTCTAATACTAGAGATGTGCACAATGTCAGCGCGTGAGCAGTTATGAACAATAAGAATATATCAATTGCCATATACTGCCATGCTCATAGTAGTGCGACTAGGCACTACACAACATTTTTGGTGATAAACAAAATATTTTGTAAACAATTTGAAATGTGCTACTACAATTAACATATTGTTTGATAGATTAAGAGTTTACTCTTAGCATTTAAATAAAATTGAGATGTTCATAGAAATAATAGTGCTTAATAAAATAGAGAGAAAAACCATTTAAGATTGGTCTAACTCTATATAGTCATTTCATATCTTAAAGTTTCCTTCTGTGACACGACACTTGCGTCAGCGGCCATCGCTCGTGCGATATTTGTAACATATTTCTAATCTAATTGGAGTCTTGAGTGGTTCTCTTTCGACTTGCTGTTGCTATCAGCTGTTTTAGCTGTCGCTAATTATTGTGATTAATCTTAATCAGACGATCGTTAACATGAGACCCAAAAACCATAGTGCAAAGGGTAAGCCAAATGCAACAACAATGCGAGACGCCACACTTAAGACATTAGTAAGTTGCCCAATAAAAAATTCAAACACTGCTGAGTCTATAAGGTAAAAACATAGAAACAGATATGTGTATGTGTATGTGTATGTGTGTGTGTTTGTGTGGTATTTGTGCATGTTCATTTTATACGATTGGCTTTTCGTCTGATTTCTTGCCTCTTGAAGTTTGGCCAAGCAGATTTGTTGATTAACACAACAACAAAGAGGACTACAAAGCAAAAGAAACGTCAGAGAAAGAAACACATACACACATACACACGCACATGACTGTGGGTTTTGCTGCCGGTATTTTATTGCCGTCGTCGCTTTGTTTGACCAACAACAAGGCAGCCAGCTTAACACTAACACACATACACACATATGTATACATCAAGAAATATGTATACTAAGTGTTTGTGTGTATTTGTGTGAAATATGGATAGTTTGGTAACGGCAACTTTTTCTCTGAGTACAAAGTTCAAAAATCATGTCTCATCTATATGCATATATGAATATGTACATATAAGGGCATAAATATCTAATAATATATGCATATATACATACATGCACACGTATGTATGTATATACATTTGATCAAGTTTGTTACACATTTGCTTACTCTTACTCTCACACACCGTTCAGTACATTCTAATTAGTTATATTTAACGCTTGGCACAATTTAAAAGCGAAATGGAGTGCGCGAACAGGTGCATGTGTCAAGCACTTTGAATTATGCTAATTTTCCAAGCAAAGCAAAAAAAAAAAAAAAAAGTATACAACAGCATTCAAATAGGCCAAGCAACAGCTGTTGCCCAGCAATGCTAACAGTAATCGTTGCCGTTAAGCGTACGTAAATCTGTCAATCAAAGCTGCAATTTCCAATCATATCTCTTATACGCAGCGCATGTATGTTTGTGTGTACCTATGTATGTAAGTGTTCCATGAATGAGCGCGCTTTTTTTTACCACTTGTATTTATGTATTGCGCAACAGCCGGCAAAGCGAGAAAAAAAATGTATGTATGTATTTAGATACCTGTAGAATGCCTGGCAGAAATTAACATTCATTCTGGCATGTGTATGCGAAATATAACGACGGAACAGACAAATGCGAACGGTAACTACATAGACATCTATCTATGTATGTATGTATATAAATAAAAAGAAACCACAAATCACTCATCACTTTATACATATTGCGAAATATGAATGCATAAACAAAGCAAATTTAATTGCTGCTTTCTCTTTATTTATGTAAATATTGTATATCGAATTCACAGTAATTATAATTTGATTACATTTGCAATATTGTTGCACTACGCGAACGCAATTTCTTGGAAGCATAGCGAAACTGAAACGCATGTTCGGCTCTCAGTATAAGAGCATGCAATTTGACAGCACGCGCTTGCTCTCTGTTGCCCTCTCAATCTCTTGCTGTCTTCTCAGAAGCCAAGCAATGCAATGCAATGCTTACTATGTCTGCATACACACATACATATGTGCAGGTGCATGTACGTGTATATTATGCTTAAAATCATTAATACTCATTGGAGGCAGGCTCTCTCCATTTCCTTCTTCATCGTATTCCGCTAGTGCAACACATGCGTGCGTATATACGAATTCATGCAAATTGAGAAATGTAAACAAACTCAGGCCGGCATTTGACTGTGCTTTGCAGATGCGTATAGAGATGTGCATGTGTGCGTGTGTGTGTGTGTCTCTCTCTCTGTTTATATTTACTGTGATTGGATTTTCGCTGCTGCTGCTGCTGCTGCTGCCGTCGCCGCCGCAACAATATGTCAAAGTTGTTGCACTTTTGCACATCGATTTGCATGAAATGCTTTTTTATATTAGTGAAAATTCACAATGCAAATCGAATGTGCAAATGCGACAGAAGAGAACGGCCAGGGGATGAAGGTCGATTTAAAGCTACAGGTTGCAGCGCAGTTAATTAACGGTATGGGTCACAAGTGGCAGCATATAAATATTTATCGATATCGACTGCAACAAAATGACAATTACATAATAAATAAATAAAACAGTTGCAATAATTTACAGATATACAAATTTGTATTATGCACACATATAGAATAAAAAAGTAAAACCAATCAACAAATGCTAAGCAACATGTACATATATTTTTTCTAATTACAAAATTTCTCCGTTGTCTTTTATGACTTATCGCTTAGATAAAAAGCCAAACCAACCCAACCCAACTATTTTGATCCCTTAACTATTGCAGGAATTTTATTGACAGCACCACACACATACACACATGCATTTGCATGTACAAATATAGATGATATCAGGTATCGATAAATATAAATATGTATTCCCTCATTTCGTAGCTTAGCCAACTACTCAAACTAATTGTAAACGTCATGCAAACAAAATGCGATCGCAAGTTCAATTTATTAGACCAAAAGCTTTCAACATGTTGTTATACATATGTATGTATGTTCATTAATTTATATAATATACATATACATATATGCATATACAGTTACAAATACATATATTCATGCCTAAAAGTGTACACGCGTATTCTAAGGGACCGATAACAATATTTGATGGGAAACGTGTAGCGACTTAGCTTAACGTTTCCTGTAACAACAGCCACTCAGTCGTGGCGAGTACCGAGGTTTGGCACACCTGAAGATTAGATATCAGCTAATGGCACTAATAAGTGCAATTCAAAAAAATTAGGGAAACTACGTGGACATATATATACCGATCGACCTTTCCACTTGCCGACACGTGAAGCTTGCATGAAGTAAACCCATTTTGAAAATCGTTGAGCAAAAATATCAATGATCTAAGAGTAAAGAAATTGCCCAATTTATATACAATATACATCGATACATATATACATAAATTATTAGTTGCTGCTCTTGGTTAGAGCTGGCACGAGCAAGCAATGGTCCATCTTTAGCAGCAGTGAACAAGAGGAAGACAAACGCAAAAGGGAACAGCAATTACAGCAATTACGAGCACTCGATCAGCTGTGAAGCAATCGCATTTGGCATCTTGTTGCTGCTGACGTCCTTGGATTGAAACTGCAAAATGGGCCAAAAAAACAAAAACAAAAAACAAAAAACCTGTTGGGAACTACAGACTCTGTGCCTAAGAGTCGCATCGTACGATCCACACGCACACAAAACCCAAGCGAACGTCACGTCAAGTGCGGCTAGTGCTGACATATTTGGCCATTTTCTAGCTTATTTCTGGACATTTACAAATTTCAGGCGGAGATAGATGAAAAATATATATATCAAAATATATTAGATAAAGTGGACAAGTATATACAATTACACAAAAGAAAGTTATTTTCATTATTGCAGCTATCAGTCAGCAATGTCTAGCTAGGGTTTTTGCTCTTCAAGCTGTGCCAGCACTCGCTGCCACGGCGCACATTAAAAATATCAAATTAAAAATATTTCAGTCAATGTCAAACACTTTCGTGGCGCAGCCAAGACCTTGCCCAATGTTTGTTCGTTTTATATATAAATATATATAGCATACCTCTTGTTATTGGATATTTTGCCATATGCAATTATCCATAGAGCTGCCGTCATGCCCGCCGCGCCAACAATTGCGCTTTGGTTCTGCGCTAATTTGCTCAGAGCTGGAGCCATTTTAATTGGGCGAAAGTATTTGCACTCTTTCACACCGATACACGCACGTACACACGCACTCGCTCGCACTCACGTGCAAAACGTAACAAACAAATAAAGAAAAAAAAAAGAACCAAAATAGGAGGAAAACAGAACTATCGTACGATTGTTGTTGTTGTTGGCTTCTTGGTAGTGTGTCCTGTGCGACAGACCTGTGCTTTGTGTTCACCCAAACAGCCCTGTTACCAGTGCGTAAGCGTGTTTTGTGTGTCTGTGTGTGTGTGTGCGTGTATGTTTGTTGAAAAGGTAAACTGTCGCAGATACTGGCGTTGCACTTTTATTTACATAGGCATTAAATACTATGCATTGTGTTGGCCAGCAAATGCACTTAGATATTATTTAATTTCATATATTATTTTTGTGGTAGATTTATTTCGTTGCACGACGGTATATTCGGTCCACTCAGGTGAGTTCTTCGACAATAAAATGGACTGATGAACAGTTAACAACTATATATATTAATAAGTTGGACTTGAATAAAATTATATTTCGTTTTGACGCAGCACACCCGCATTTAAACAAATACACGTCCGAACTCCGGCGCAACAACAACAAATGTGAACGCTGGCGATGTGCACTGTCCACTATGGATGAGCGATATGGGAAACAACAATTATCGATAGCCCACGGGTGTTGGGAAAGTAAGAAAGCGCTGTTTAGCAGCACTGTCAGAGGAGGCGGCGAGCTGATTGTTAAGTTATCGAAATATTGTCGTTCCTGGCAACCAACAGCTGTTCCCATTTCATTGTCAAAATTCAAAACATTGGAGCACACTGGCGCTATTTGGTTCGGCTTCCCACATACATGCACACACACTCACACACACACAGAGAGACGCGCACACACACGGGCACCTTGGAGAATTTATTTATGAAATCTTATTAGTGTATGTGGGGTATGTACACACAGAAATATGCGCAGATAAGTTTATTAATAATTTTTTTCGCTTGCATATATGCAAACACAAACGCACACATATACATGTGTGTACATATGTGTATGTAATCAATTTGATTTCTCGCTTGAACCAAACGCGAAAATCACAACAAACAAACGGATTAAAATCAACGCCAGTTGACAACCGTACAGCAGCAGCAGCAGCAGCAGCGTACAGCGTACAGCAGCGGCAGCCGTGTTTGCTACCAATTAGATAATCAACTGCTGACCGACATACTATTTCCAATTGGACCAGGTGCGTATATCCAACTGCAAAAAGTGCAAAAATCGATTTTATCAAAAGTGCACGCTATGCCAACTGCTCTTGATCTAATTACACAGATACACTCACGCCAGTCAAACACAAAAACACACAGACACACACATGCAAGTACATGCACACGTATACAGACGCGAAAAGTAAATAATTTATAACAAAAAGGTCTTGAGGTTAAGTGCGAGAACGGTAAATAGTCATAAATTATAGCCTTTGATTCAATTTGCCGTTTTGCGTGCCGCCTCCAATTGGATTGCGTGCGAAACACCGCAATTCTCACCAATTTTCCCAATCGGCAGAGCGGCTAAACAAAAGCAACAGCTGGATTCCAATTAGGTTAGCTGATGTGTCAATTGGCTTGGCGCCACTTTTCTTTTGTTGCACCTGCGTTTATTAATTTTTTTGTTTGTTTATTTATATTTTTTCTGTTACTTGCGGCTTAATTAAATACAATTCATATCTTATCTGCACAAGGTCAAATACCGAATGCCGAATGCCATTTGCATAGTTGGACTCTTCCCACTGGAATATTGCAATTGGAGCAGCTGCTCTCATTGCATAACCAGATATCGCTAGTCCAATCAGATTACATTTAATATTCTATTGATTTCATGCATGTGCAGAACAATGGAGCTCAGTGGAGACATATGCTGGGCTATAAATATATGCGATAGCATTGTTGACGCGCCCTTTTAGCACCTGAACGCAGGTGCTAACTGATGGTTTTGATAACAGCATATTGATTATATTAATTTTGCTTTTTTCTATTTTTTTTTATTTCTTCTATTTTATGTTGATTTATACACTCTTATAGTGCATATGTCCGTATATACACTGCGACTAAAAAGCAAAATTAACAAAGTTTGCAATACAAAATGTAACAGCTTAAAGCTCGGCTTAATGCATAATTCCTAATATTTTTAAGAAAAGCTCAAGTAGACTACTTAAGCATTCATCGATCCTAATTTGTTGGTTTATTTAAAGCTTAATAATACGCTAATTTTAAAACCCGACTTAAGTTTTAAGCTCTGCTTTTTTCTATCGAGTCTATTCTAGGTTATATATCAGTAAAAAAGTAAACCCAATTCAGCTCTCTTCCCTTAAACCGAGCTTTAATAAGCCCTTACACCCATAAAGGCTTGCTTTGCTTATTTTCAGTTTCCAAATATTAATTTATTGTAGTTTGATAGTATTTATAAGCGCAATCTAAGCAACTTTAGGAAGCTTCTAAAGCACTCAAAAGCTCATCGTAAAGTTGCTTATTCATTTTATTTATTTTAGAATACTATACCAACAAAAGAGCCAAAAAGTTGATGGCATTTCTTTTTGGTAAAGCTTTTTCGCATCTCTTTTTAGTTGTGTATAGATAATATTTCATATATACACACATACATAAATGTGGATATAGATATTCATATATTATGCATTATTTATACCTGTAATTGTATTGTTTTTTTCATGATCTTTTTGGCAAACACTTTCATAGCACAGTCTCAATTGCGCAATTGTGAATCCAAAGTGCAAAATTATTGCCAACAAGGCCTTGTTCTATATATACATATATACACAAGTATATAGTCTAATATATTTGTTTATACAAATATAGCAAATCTATAACATAAGCTCGGATCTGTTTGGACTTAGGCTAAGACGTCACTGATAAGACGTGTTTTTGTTGTCTGTCAGACTGAAAGTCAAAAGTCCATGAAATTTTGATAGCGCCACTTATAGCGTGTGTTTACATATATAGCCCACCATAGACCCATTAAATCTTATGCATAATCCAAGTGCTATCTAAATGGGGCCAAGCAAAAGCCACCGTCATGCAAGAAAATAACAAACAAAATCATAAAACTTTTTAAATTGGCTAAGATGAAGGAAAGATTCCTTGAAGATAGTCGCAAAATAAAATTCAAATTTGTCAACGATCGTCATTATCGATTACTATCGATAGCTTGTCAAACAAAAGAAACTGCAGTGTGACCATGCGAACCAATAAACGAAATGCTCAATGTCCGTTAGAAAGCTCAAAAGGATTTGCCTAGCTCTTATACTTATAAAAATAAAATTTATAATTAGCTTTTATCAGAAACGACTGTGTCTTGGCAACAGAACCAGTTAATTGTTTTTTTTTCTCTCTATATAATTGAATTGTAGCCGCTACGGTTGGGGGTATACGTGTGTGTGTGTGTGTATCGATGCCATAAATTTATTTTGGTTAGCTTATCGCGTTTGATAGCACACAAAGATACGAACAAGCAACCATAAATATATATATATACACATACATACATCTGTGTGTTTATATATTTTACCAATGGCAAGGTTAATGTCAATACCAATGCCAAACCAAGTTTTCAAACTCTTATAAATCGAGTTTAAGCGTACGCTCTTATACACACAGCAAACGCGCATTTAAGACGAGTCGAGCGTATATGTGTGTACTTGGTGGTGGTGCTTTTTCGCCTTTTCGCTTTTTGCACTGGACTTTTGTGTTCAAACCATTTTATGTATCTCACTTAACGACAGGCACTCTCTTTTGCTGTTTCTCTTTCTAGAATTGTGTGTGTGCGTTTGTTTTTACAGTAATTAAATTCGAAGTAGCCAGGAGAAATTAACCGTGAGGAAAATGAGTCGCCAACTATTAAGGAATCCGTCAACGCTACAGCGTGCTGCCACTGCAGTTGTGACATCGGGGCTGCCGCATCTGGAGCATAGCAGTGGTCGCATCTGTCAGCTGCAGCAACAATGTAAACTGCCGTCGAGCGTTGCCATTCGACGCTGGAAATCGCTGCTACATAACAATAACAGCGCTCAAAAGCCAGCGACAGCAGCTACAGCCACAACGGCGTCGACGACGGCAACGACAGCGACAGCGACGCGACGCTGCAGTCAAGCTGAAGCATTGAACGCGCGTGGTAGCCATTCACCGTTTAACGCTCCTGTTCGGTTAGTAGTCCCCAAAAATTTATTCTTTGCTCGTTGTTTCGTCTTTTTTTTTCTTTCTTTTTTACGTGGTTTTCGATTTTGTTTTGTTTATTTTCAATATATTTTTGTAGTGCCAACCGGAGGCAAAGCCGAACGAGTTTGCATTTGACATTAAGCTGTGAACTTTAATTTTTGATTTCCTTTTCCCGTTTATTCCGCCCTTTTTCTATATAGCAACATGTCCACCGCTAGCAATGAGAAGGTCCTCTCCATGGGCAACATCAATGCCAACTATAAGGCCATGGAGTATGCGGTTCGTGGACCGATCGTTATACGCGCCGGAGAAATTGAAAAGGAACTGTTGAAGGTAAGTGCGCTTCACCCTTTCCAGTTTGCTGGAAAGCTGCTCTCTGAATGTACATTGCGTGCTTACACACACGCCATCTACCGAGCGCGACGATGTACCGTCGCGGTTATTGTTGTTGTTTTTTTTTTAAGTGTGCTTTGGTGTTATTTTCTCTCACTACGTTTCGCACTTATAAATTGTTTGCATTTGGCGCAATTGTTATCCCTTCATTTGAGTGCTGGCTTTGCGAATGTGAGTGGGAAAAAATGTGTTTGGAATTTGTATAAGACCATGTGGAAAATGTAAATTTAAAACTTTCAATTATCTTTTAACTCTTTCTTGTCATTTATTAAACTTGAAGGTTAATTTAATTCCATTCTCATACTTATAGAACAGTTAGAGCAATTACACACTATGTTCGAAGCATCTACGGTATATTTATCGGTAATTTTGAAGCTTATCTTGAATTTGATAAGCTCTATTGCCTTAACAATTGAACATCATCATGTTCATAAAATTATTTTTATGAAACTATTTACCATCGGCAGCTGGCTCTAATTATTGTTTCATCATTGATTCATTATCATTCCATCATTCCCATCTTTATTCCAGCACTTGTAATTGGGGTCACATTTTTTCAATTATCTGCTTTTAAATTTCAATTTGGTTCGGCTTAAGCTATAAATACGCACCACATACGCTTATTGCTATGCGCTCTCTCACTCTCCTCTCACTTTCTACTCCTCTTCACTTCTTTTAATTTTTCGTTCTGCCCACCCAGTGCCCAATTTTGTGAAAGTCAAGTTCAGTGAACGTCCTTCAAAACACCGGCAGCATCAGCCAGCGCTACTGGGGCTTTCTTTTCGCTTATATAAGTTGAGCAAGGGTGGGTTTGGGAGTGTTGTGGGGCTTTTGGGATGGCTGATATGGATGCTGTTTGCCAATTGCATGGGGCGTTGTTATCAAACAAACAAATGGCAACAAACATGCGCATGAGCTTTGACTTCACAGCTACAGTGGGCACCCGAAAAAAGGGTCTTTTCGAAATTATATGATTAGAAATTAAGTGATTAGGCAAGTTTATATTTACTACATATGTATGTATGTAAATACGTGTATATGTACGTATACATATGTAAATAAGTGTGTAAATAATAGAAGACATAATAGAAGACACCCACCCACACATTTTCGTATTGTCATATTTTTGTTCGACTTTGTTGTTATATTCCAGCGCAACGCAAAATAAATTCTCTTCGAATTTGATGAGCTAAAACTAACAATGCGCTTTACCCCCACCTCGTCTTCCCCAACATGTCCCGTTGTGCACGCTAAACTGCAGCAGTTAATACTTACATACATATATGTATGTATATGTATGTGCCTACATGAACGTAATTAAATGTATGTGCGTGCGTGTCTGTATGCCACCATGTCTCTTCCATTGTTTAGCTTACGTTCTTTCTCATTTCAACTTTTTACATTTTGTTCTGTCTGTTGCTGCTCTCTACTGTTGCTGCTACTCTCTACTGTTGCTACTATTGCTTTGCTTCCCCTTCCTTTGCATCCACTTGGTTCACTTCCTCATTCGCATCACTTGCTCTTTCATGCATAATTTTATTTCTCTTCTACACGGTGGCATTTGCTGCTGTTGTTGTTTTTGCGTTTTATCAAACTCGTTCAGCCGGCTCTGCGCTGCTTATGATAAACACGCACTTCCAACAATTTGACAACTTGCCAAATAGGCAATCCAAGCGTCTGTCAATAGAAAATGCTTGACATTGTTATAATACACACATGCATATGTACATACATATATATAGGGAGACATGCCTACATACATACATACGTAAACTTTTGATCTCTTATAGTGGCGTGTACACACATACATATGTGCATATGTATGTATTGGAATTATTTTGAATGTTGAAATGAAGCGTAGTTGCAGATAAGACGAGCCGCCAAAAATGTATAAACGTGAAGTATTGCTGTAATACATTAACATAATGTTACTCTGTTAAGTTGCAAATCATCTATGATATGGGCTGCCTGTTATTGATATATGCAAGTGAGCTTAACAGTTGTTTTTCTTAACGTTTTTAAGCAACATCATGTTTGATTGATGTGCTTAGGCTTTCTGCGTAATGTTAATACGCTGTAAATTTGCTTCAAGGGTTTTCGTATAAGAATGTACTTAAAGTATTCCCATATTCGTTTTTCGCTCATTAAATTTGATATTAGTTTTTTATTGGGTTTAGCTTATTGACTTTGATTTGACCCACAGCCCACGCTCACTATCTCTCAATTACTCTGCCAGTTTCGCTCTCTTCGATCTCAGCCTGCCCTCTTTTTCTGATTTGCTTCGAACAGTGATAAATGCCTCGATTGCCATATTAGCAAATGAACGTTAACAAATTGAACTAAGTGCGGAGCACTCACACACGCATACACACACACGCACACACACACACACACACGCGTAGCTCGCTATGCACCTGTACACACCTTTATTGTTTGGTTAAGAGATGTGTATGTATGTATGTGTATGTGTATGTGTATAAAACAGGCACTAGATGAAAAAGTTTTTGCAATCTTAGGTATATAAGAATATATACAGAATTAACAATTGAAATATAAGTATATATATTAGTAGCATGCAGAATGAGCTTGAAAATAATTCATTAATATTAATCCGCTAAGTAGTAAATTAAAGTTTATAACATATTTATATATACATGCATATGTATATTGTTCATTCATCATACCACATATGAACTCTTACGATATAAGATATCTTGAACAATGATGAATTGAATTTTTGTTTATATCACTAAATTTTTAACTATATGTATACATACATATGTGTATGAAAAATAAAGCATATATCTTGAGAGACAGTCACAAATATGCAAATATATATAATATATAAAAGCTTATAGAATTTTATAAATAAAAAGCAAAAGCTTATGGACCATATTATTTACTTGCATGTTTTTCTGAAAGCCTTTTAAGCAAAGACTTATCAAAATCGCAGTATTATAACTCAAATACATACATATGTCTATGGGGGAGGGTATACAAAAGTCGACTTGAACATAGCTAACATTGCTCACTCACTATCTCTATCTCTCTCTCTCTCTCTCCCTCTTTCTGCCGCCTGTTGTTAACTTCGCTAACATTCTGTTGATTTCTATTGTGGTGCTTGCGGGCGTTACATTGCCCATCATTGGCTTTACGCTCTTTCCACACTTGTTGTTGCATTTGTGCAGTTATAGCAGCTATGTGTGTGCGTGTGTGTGTGTGTGTATGTGTGTATGCATGACTTAATTTGTGGTTCGTGATTTGCCAGGCATTCTGTTCTCTGCTCAGTTCTGCTTGTATTTTTCATTCAAATAATAAATTACTCATACGACTTGCTGTACAGCACCAACCCCAACCCCAACCCCCAAACCCCTGCCCGCTGTGGTGACCCGCAGTCCCCTCAAATCGCACAGTTTGGGTAATGTAAGCCCCCACTTGCACTCGAATTACTTATTGGCATGCACACATACATACATACAATATAATATATATACTATATTTAGTATATGCACTTGCATTGTCAACTACTTGACGCCTCCGACCAGCCCTTCTGTCTCTCCCTCTCTCTCTCTCTCTCTCTCTCTCTCTCTCTCTCTCTCTCTCTCTCTCTCTCTCTCCCCTTTCTCTCCAGTTTACATTTCAAATGGCAATTAAGTCTCACATTCAATTAAGAGGTATATGTTTTTACTTCACTTTAGCAGATGAACTAAATTGTACGTATGCTCGCTCATAAAGTGAAGCGAGTATATTGGACTTTCGTTGAGCTTTTATAAATGTGTAACTAATGTTTTTATAGCAAGAAGTAATTGGATTTTCTGATTCTGGTTTTATAGCACGAGATTAATTGAAATTTTTATAAGTCTAAATTTGTCTTTTAAGCAAAGTTTCGCTAGCTTTACACATCTAATTTCTAATTTAAAGAAATCATATTTAAGCTGGTCTTTAGATATCACTTTATAGTAAAGAATGTATTCATATTCGACTTTATGGCAACAACCTTCCTTGTGCTTCAGATATAAAACTTCATTTTATAGTAAGAACTACATCGCAATTATCCTTTGATCAACTTTAAGCTCGTCTTATAGCAAAAGTGGGCAACAGTCTATTTAATCTTTATAGTAAACATATCAAAGTTGTTTTTATAGCAAGAAATTATTAGCAATTTTCTCCCTTTCTCACTCACGCATACTCTCTCTCTTTCTCTCTCTCTCTCACTTGAGGCTTAAGTTTCGCTTTATTGAATTATGGTTCACACATTGGAACTGGTTCGCTTCGTGGCCATAATTATGTTTAATTTTATGGCCGAGCTAGTTTTGGGTATTAGATTTAATTGAATACGAAATTGTGATTAGCCGTAATTGTTTGATTGCCGCCTTTGCTAATGAGCCAACTAATTTGGCCAAAACAGAGCGAGTCGGAATAGAAAAAAAATAAACAAACTGCATATCTTGATTAACATATTCGATTCGCACGACGGCGCATTAAAATCATATTAGAGCCTCATTCCAATCGGGCGACTGGGCTCTAATCATATTAATACGTACCAATTATTATTTAGTTATTTAATTATTATTATTATATTCTGTATTTTATTTCTTGCGCTTGCAGGGTGTTCAGAAGCCATTCGACCGGGTCATCCGGGCCAACATTGGCGATTGCCATGCGATGGGCCAAAAGCCTTTGACCTACTTAAGGCAGGTGAGTGAAAGAGCTAGCTATATGTGTATATATATATATATATAGGCCTTTAGACAGTACAGTAATCACTCGCTTTGCTTTGCTATAGCTGATGGCTTTGACCATGGAACCGCGTCTGTTGAACTCCCCCGAATATCCGGACGACATCAAGAAGCGCGCTTGTGATCTGCTCGCCGCCTGTTCGGGTGGTTCGATGGGTTCCTATACCGATTCAGCTGGCTTGGAGTTTGTACGTCGTCAGGTCGCCGCCTTCCTAGAGAAGCGTGACAATGGCGTGCCCGCCGATTATCAGAATATTTATTTGACCGGTGGTGCGTCGCCGGGCATTAAGAGCATTCTGGCTCTGCTCAAGTGAGTATACGCAAAGGAACTGGAACTAGTTCAATTACTAGCAAACTGACAGTTATAGGATGTAGCTAATTAGTATTATTGAAGTATTTCTAATAGTTCATAAACTAAATTCTAGCTACTAGTCAGCTTTGAACTGGAACGAAGAAATAGTTCTTTTGATTCAAAACTGAATAGATAGTGCTACCATTGGTTTATCAAGTTAGTTTTGTCTATAGAAAGCATCATCTAATATTTGTTCAAATTTTGAACTAGTTCTTTGGTAGCCTTTAAAAGAACTTGCTCTTAAGCAGTTTCAATTAAGTAAAGTGGGATCAAACTGTGCTTATGAACAACCTATTTCAAATTATTTAAATGTTGTTCAATCGATTATGTGCGATCTGTTAATCATCCTAGTTTTGGTTCACGATTATTGAGCCATTGAACTAGTAAATTCTAGCATCTCAATTAGAGTTATATCCGTTGCAACCCGACATAACTGTAATCAATTTCTTTTATTGAATACAGCTGCCCGGTTGGCGGTCTGCCGCCCGGCATTATGGTGCCCATACCACAGTATCCACTGTACTCGGCGACCATCACAGAGCTGGGCATGTGCCGTGTGGATTATTTCTTGGACGAGGCCAGATGCTGGGGACTCGATCGCAAGGAGCTGCAGCGAGCGTACGAGGAATCGAAGAAGAAGTGCAGCCCGCGTGTGCTGGTTGTCATCAATCCGGGCAATCCCACCGGACAGGTGCTCACCCGCGAGAATATCGTCGAGATTATCAAGTTTGCATATGAAAACAAGCTTGTGATCCTGGCCGATGAGGTGTACCAGGCGAACGTGTATGACAAGAACTCCAAGTTCTACTCGTTCAAGCAGGTCATGAACGAGATGGGCGGACCGCATCGCCAGCAGGAGTTGGTCAGCTTCCTGTCCGTTTCGAAGGGCTACCTCGGCGAGTGCGGCATACGCGGCGGCTACATGGAGGTGCTGAACTTGTGCCCCGAAGTCAAGGCGGTGCTCACCAAATCGATTACGGCCCAGCTCTGCAGCACCACCGCCGGTCAGGTGGCAATCAGTGCGCTCGTGAATCCACCCACTCCCGGGGAGCCATCGTATGAGCTCTTCGAAAAGGAGAAATCCGAGGTATTGAATGCGCTCAAAGAGCGTGCCGAATTGGTCTACAAAACGCTGAGCAGCTTCGAAGGCTACACGGTGAATCCGGTGCAGGGCGCCATGTATGTGTTCCCCAAGATTGAGATACCACCCAAGGCTGTCGAGGCGGCCAAGGCTAAGAACATGCTGCCGGATGTTTTCTACGCATTCGAGCTGCTCGAGACGACAGGTGAGTAATCCACAATGAATATCATAGAAGAGCTCCATATAACCCATCTCTCTCTCTCTCTCTTGGCAGGTATTTGCATTGTGCCTGGCAGCGGATTTGGCCAGTTGCCCGGCACCTATCACTTCCGTAGTACCATTTTACCACAGACGAATGTATTGAAGGAAATGATGGAGAAATTCCGCGTATTCCACGCCGAGTTCATGAAGAAGTATAAGTAGATTGCGTACACTCGAGTCATTAACCAAAAAACAAATTTTTTTTTTTTTTTAATTTTGAAAATTACGAGTAATAAAACTTAGTGAAAATCAAATCCCATTTATGTAATATCGTGGATCTGATATACGTTTTTGAATTTCGAGACAAATGTTTATCTATATGTAGATATATACCTATGTATATTGGCCATATGTTTATGGTTTGTTTTGTTTTTTGTTTTTTTTTTAAGAATTGAGGCACATTACAAAATTTGACAATAATATTTGTTCAATTGTTTGCTTTGTTGCATTCAATATGATATTGTTAGTAATATATATACATATATATTAATCAGATGTGGATATACATACGTACATATATACAAGCTAAATATCCCGACTAAATGTTATCTATTGTGTTATTGTTGATCAATTATTATTATGAATAATATTATATATATACAGATATACAAATACAATTGGCATTCAGAATTCGAAATTGGTTTGATGGAAATTTCATCGCACCCAAAAGTATGCAATTTTTTACTTGTAAATGACCTCTGATTCATTGTCATAGCCCATACTCTTTAATCCCAAATACTATCTATATTCATTAATCAATCTACAATATATCAATATATAGTTAAGTTGCTAAAATATATGTATATAAAATATTAAGTCTCTTTCACTGCTTTAAAGACTTCAACTTTCCGCTGCCTTCTGCTCTTCTATATGTATACTGCGTTTAGCTGATCCACTATGATAGCATATCCATTATCAATTTTATAGTTTACGGAAGTTTTCAGTTTAATTTGTGGCAGATTTTTGTTAAATCTAAATTTATTCCTCATTCTATTGCATTCTACAGCTCTTCAAGTTGAGCTGGTTTAGATGCGCTGACAATCCCCATGGATTGTTTCTGCATTGTTCCTATATAGAGCTTGTAGATCTATCTAATACATTGACGTATACAGTCTCTATATAAGTCTGTGAAGTGGAATATGGAGGGCTTATGTAGTGGTTAGTTAGCTCTTCATTGGATTATTAAAGAGCTTATATTGTAGTTAGAAAACTCTACAATACTTACGCTTCATATGTTAAGTTTCAATTAAAAATCATGTTTTCTCGCACTTGTTTTCTTTTTTTTCTTCTTTTTATTATGTTCACCTTAAATCGTCTTAATTCATTTTTTTACAATTTGTGAAAGAAAAGAAAATATATATATGTATATATATATTTATATACTTGAAAATAATAGATTTAAAGAAACATTCACAAAATACTCGTACCTTCCGCTCTCCCATGTGGTGGTTGACGAAGTGGGTGTATTCCAAGTGTTTTATATATGTGTGTGTGTGTGGGTGAGTGTCTGTGTAGTTGTAGATGCAGTTGTCTCCCGCTTGTTTCCTCTCTTTAATCTCTAAGCACTTACTAGCTAAATACGCAGCAACAAACTGGTTCTCGAATTTATTTAAATATATTTTATAATTTCATATTTATTATTTATTTATATATTTTACTTCTTTTGTTATTTTGTAACTCTTTGCTTATTTGGTATTTCTTTTGTTTTGTTTTTCTTAATATTTTCTATTTTTTTTTTTTTTTTTTTTTGTTTGCTTTGAGTGTAGCTGTCGAAATTTACGATTCTACTTTTATATAGAAACAAAAAAAAAACTCACTACGATAGGACAATTTTTAGTAGACACTTGTGTCTGTCTGTGTGTGTGTGTGTGCGTATGCATGTGTGTCAATATGTGTGTGTGTGTGTGTGTGTGTCTGTTCCTGCTGATCTGTTCCTAATGTTGTTGTTGCTGCTGCATTTGTTGTTGCTGGGTTGGCTGGCACCTTCACCTAGTGGCGATCCCTCGAGTCCGAACGGCTGCGTCGATCACGTGAGAAGCTGCGACTGCGGGTGCGAGAGCGTCTGGGTGAGCGTGACCTGTAAGTAGATTGGTGTTTGTGGTGGGTGGGCGCGATTGGAATGGATGGGATGGGATGGAGTTTAATTTGTTGCAGGATGACGGATACGATGTTTTTTTTTTAATATGATTTCAGACAGACACACGGCAGGAGCGCATGAGTGAGAGTGAGTGATAAGATACAGAGAGCGAGAAGAAGCGCGAGCGAGAGAGAAAAGAGAAGAGCGAGAAAGAGAGAGAGAAAAATACAAATTAAATAGTTTTTTTTTTTTTAAATAAGCAATTTGAGACATCAAATTTGGTATTTGGTTGTCATTTCATTTTATAAAAAATGTTGAAAAACTGAGCCTCCATTTCTCAGTTTATGGGTTTGTTCTCATTTAATATATATATATTTTTTTACTGATATTCTATGGAGAAGCTCTGAGAGGAGTTGGTGGTTGGTTGATTGGTTGGTTGGTTGGTTGGTCTTGGTGGTTGCTTTTCGTGATGCTCTCGCAGTTTGTCTGTTGGCTGTGGCGCTGCGTTGAGCTGAGCTGAGAGAGATACATATACATATACACATATACATATACATATATATATGTATATAGAGAGAGAGGGAGATAAAGAGAGAGAATGCTACTTTCGGCAGGGGGGCATTTGGCTGGTCTCTTTTCCTCTTTTGGTGGTAAAAAAAAAAAACATAACCAAAAACAAAAACAAACAACATACATTAACGTAGTAGTAGCTGTGGTGGTGTTGGGTGAGTTCAGTGTTGGATGAGCATAGCAGACTGAGAGAAGAATGTTGTACTAGTTGCTGTTGTTCTTGTTGATGTTGTTGTTGCTGTTGTCGCTGTAGTTGCAACACTCGATTGTTGTTACTGTAATAGGTGCTCAAGTGTATTGATGCTCTAGTTACTGCTGCTGCAGCTGTTGCTTACACTAATACACATACACACACATTCACACACGCACGCACGCATGCACATACACAGAGACAAGAGAGAGAGGAGCTGAGAAAAGGGGGGATAGCCTGAGGTAAGTTCCTTCACATTTGTTACTGCATTCGCGCATGTGTGTGTGTGTGACTTTGGCTGTTTGCGTGTGTATGTGTGTTAAGGAACAACAACAATGTACACAAACAAACAATATAAACAATAACGATAAACGATCCAAAATGAAAAGAAAACGATAGAAAATACTGTTAACAACGGCTCAGCCGAAGACTAAATACCTTTGCTGACAGCTGACATCGGCAAATGCTTAAGGATCTGCATACAGTGAACACACAACAATTGGAACTGATTCGAATTCGAATTTACAATGAAATTTGTGAGAATCAAATAATTACAAATCATAACATTCCAATATGCGAGGCTTCACTGTATCGATAGTCTATGCACTGTGTGGGTTAGCCTGCTCATCGCTTCCTTATTAAACTGATGATATAGTGATACGATCCAACCAACTTCAACATATATGCTGACTGCAGCAATTAGCAGCATCTATGCCAAGTTTCATTAAGATTGATTCACTGGATGATGAGTTCATATAGGCCAGAAACGGAAATGTTGAACGCACGGAAGGACACCAGGTCACAAATCAACTTAGCATATGCATTCTACTCGTTGCGGCAAGGGTATTATACAGCAATGTTAATAACGAAAAAAGTTCTAAAAAAAATTAAAAGTTAAAATTTGATAGCATTTCTTTTAGCTAAAAATAATTTTTGGTAGCAATTTTACATACGCTTTTTTTTTAGATTTTTGAATTTTTTTTTTTTTTTTTGGTAGTTGCTTTACGTGATAATTCGGAGGTGGTGGTTGGTGGTTGTTGTTGTTCTTGTTGTTGGTGATTATTGGTGGTTGTTGTTGTAGTTGTTGTTGTTGCAGGAGGAGTTGTTGCAGTTGCAGTTGAAGCTGAAGTTGTGAAGAAGCGCAGCGCAGCTGAATTTGAAGATTCATAGACATTTCTTTTTTTTTCTGTGATGCAGAGATGCTCGGCGCAGGGTATTTGCTTTTTAATTTGTAGGGGGTGGAAGGTATATGGGGGGTGGGGGGTATGGCCAACCCGGTAGGGGTGCAAGAACTGAAATGAGCTACGAAGCTAGAGCAACAACAAATTAAATAAAAGATGATTAACAAAAAGAGAGCCCTAAGTTGTTGCATGTTGTTGAAGTAGCTGTTGTTGTTGTTGTTGTTGTAGTACTTGTTGGTTGGCTGTTCTTGAAGTTGTTGTTGTTGTACTTGTTGGTTGGCTGTTGTAGCTGTTGTTGGTGGCAGGCTGGCTTCTAGATGAGCATAAGATGATTCTTACATATATATATATATACATTCATTGATCAACAAATATATATATTTTATATATCTTATATATACAGATATACTGTGGGGGACAGAAGCAGACCCGTTGAGGCTGAGAAGCGTTGCAGAAGACGCGTGTAGGACTGCAAGTTGAAGTTGAGTCTAGAGTTGTTGTCTACGGTTGTTGGCTGTTGCAAAGCGCTGATTGGTTGATTGGCTGACTGGTTGATTGATTGGCTGATTGATTGGTTGGTTGGTTGGTTGATTGATTGATTGATTGGTTGATTGATTGGTTGTTGGTGTAATTGGAGTTAGATTTGATTGCTGGCTGGGTCAGTAGTTGCACTTGCTTGTTGTTGTTGGTTGGTTGGTTGGTTGCTGTTGTAGTTGTTGGTTGTGGTGGTGGTGGTGTTGTTGATAAGTGTTGTTAATATATGTGAGAGAGCATAAGTCGTTGTTGTTCTTGTTGGTACGAAAGTAGAAGCATTTTATGATGAGCTATGAAGACTGTTGTTGTTGCTTATTGGTGAAGTTGCGACGACAGCTGCAGTCAAAAGCCGTTGATTGATCGTTTGATTGACCGACTGATTGACTGGCCCCACAATTGCGCTTTGCTGCCACGTCGCACTTGGTGATTTGTGTGTGTTTGTGAATGTGAGAGCATGTTGTTTATGTTCTCGTTTATGGGTGTGTGATGAGTTAGAGAGAGAGAAGAGAGAGAGAGAGAGAGAGAGATAGATAGAGAAAGAGAGAGTTGTGTGAATTATGTTGTGTTGTGTGGTGTCGCAGTTGATGCTGATGCAGGTTGTAGCTGTTGCTGCTGATGGTGGATGGTGATTGGACTGCCCCTTCAGCTGACAAATAGATGCGTACGTTAAGTACAAAGATTTTGTAGAGAGCTTGCGAAGAAGAGCATGTGTTCTTGTTGCTATTGTTGTGATGTGTTGCTGTCGCTGTTGTAGTTATTGTTGTTGTTGGTGGTGTTGTTGTTTTTCTTGTTATTTTTTGCAGTCAGCGGAATATATCGTATTTGTTGAAATCGACAATTATCATAAAGCTGCACAATTTGGTTGGGCGTGTTGTTGTTGTTGGTGTTGGTGAAATGTGTGTAAGAGGAGGAGCAGGAGCTGTTTTTCTTGTTGTTGTTGTAGTTATGAGACGTGAAGTTGTTCTTGTTGTTGTAGTAGTTGTACTTGTTGAAGGAAGAGGAGGAGTAGTAGAAGTTCTAGTAGTAGTAGTAGTAGTAGTAGCTGTTGTTGTTGTTCTTGTTGTGCTTGTAGTAGAAGAAGACTTTATCCTGCAAAATGATTGTGAAACCACATTAAAACTGAGCCTCAATCGTTGATGAATTGTTTTTAATTGGTTTGTTCTATTTTTACTGGTGTACTTGTTTAATTTAAATTTAATTATATGCGATACTTCTAAGTGTTTCACTAAAACACAACAAATCTTTGTACAACGGCGAGGCCGCATTTGAATAACAAGCGGGCAAACGGGTCAAACGGGTGTGGATGAAACCTTCAATCAAGTACTTAAAGGATTTTAACGTAATGCGAATTAGCTATCGACTGTTAAGCTGTGCGTCCACCAACCCTGGTTTATCGATTATTGATATTCGGACTTTTGAAACTCTCGCGTGGTGCACACAATTGATGCGCACGACACTGTAAATCTGTGTCTGTGTGTGTGTATGCCGTGTGTATGTGTGTTCATGTGTGCGCTGTGCTCACTTTTACAACCGGTACTGCAATATTTCTTGTATGTATACGCACATTGGCGCGGGCCCGTTTTCATTTACGTCTTTTTTTTTTTCGCTTGCCCCAAATCGATTTTTCATACTTGTCTGTTTTTTTTCGCCAACTCATATGCAATGCGCAACACAAATAAATATATACGTATATACATGGTATATACAAAGAGTCTTAAATGTACATATATATATAACAAATTAAGATGCAAGGGGAAGAAAGGGGATTGCACTCACCTATAACGTCCGCCAGCGTCACCAGCACGAGCAGCTGCACCGCCGCCACCTCCACTGCCACTGCGTCCGCCGCGTCGGCCACCGCCGCCTCCACCGCCGCGTCCTTCACGTGAACGGCCTGAAGACATTTCGACGCGTATGCGTGTGCCACAGCAGCGTGTGCCATCAAGTCCTCGTGTCGCATCCTCTGCATCGCGACGATCTTCGAATTCGACGAAGGCGAAGCCAGGAGGATTGCGTGCTACCCACACATTACGCAGGGGTCCATATTTACTGAACGCGTTCTCAATCTCATATTTGGAGGCCGAGGAGCCAAGATTGCCCACGTAGACTTTGCAGGCCAAGTCCCATTCACGATAGCGGGGCATAGTGTATATTTATGTATATGTTAATATTTTTGAAATTTTATACAAATTTCTTTATGCCAGCGATTAATTGCGTCGCTAGGTATACACAATTTATATATGTACTATATATACTTCTTTTCCCAGGCAGCAGGCAAGCACAACCACGCTTACGTAGAGAGAAAATTAATTTGTGATTGTGGTAAAAAAAATACAATTTCAAGATGGCAGCCTACTTCCTATCGATGTATCGTATACTAGTAAGAGAACGATAGCAGGATACTATCGATTTGACAGCAACCCTGCTGATGTGACAGTGCCGCACAGCTGAGCTCTCTCACTGCTATTATTTAATCGCCCAACATTTCGTTGATTCCTCACCAAAAACTTAAATAAAACAACAAAGTACAAAATGGCTAAAAGCCCCGAAACTGTGTCTTTAGATCAGCTGGACAAGGATCAAATGAAAACAGTAAGTAACCAGCTGCATTTGATTGATAAACATGCTGCCAATGTGATGCAATGTGCAATCGAATAAGCCGCCCGCTTGAATCTGATTTGTTGACCTGTAACTGAACAACGTGCACATGTATATATGTATGCATATGTATATATATAGTTTTCAGATTTTCTGATGTCGTACAACAAACTATCCGAAATGTGCTTTACGGACTGTGTGCGCGATTTCACATCCCGTGATGTCAAGGACTCTGAGGTGAGTCAATTAAATCTAAAGCCCAATGGATCAAAGGAGCTCAAACGTTTCTGATTTTATAGGAGAAATGTTCACTGAATTGTATGGAAAAGTATTTGAAGATGAATCAACGTGTCTCCCAGCGCTTCCAAGAATTCCAAATGATTGCCAACGAAAATGCTTTAGCCATGGCCCAAAAAACCAATAAACTATAGAGGAAGAATCATGAGGAAGCTGCACAGTTCGAGTTACTAAGTAGTTGAGTTAACAACAGACGAAATCCCAGCCCAGAGCTACAATAGCACAAATGCATTTCTATTTTGCATTTGTATGGCCCCTAGCAACTAGCAATTAAATAAATACAAAAATAGAAAACACAAAATTGGGTTCAGAGAAACTCTTTCGAGTCCTCTTCAAAAAGTTAACTCTTAACTGGTATTTATTTATTCAGCTGAGGACAACATATTCATCTATGTATATCTGTTCTGCTCTTATACACACATTCAATACATATTTTCTCCCTCCTTCCTCCCTCCCTTCTAATCTTTAAGCGAATTTGTGGCATTTGGTTTTCTTGTTGATTTATATATAGATAAGAGATAAGAGATCTGTTATTTTATTTAATTATGTAAAAAGAGTTAAAAGACACAGCAAATTCTTATGTTATAAAAAAAAAAATGAAAGGAGAGCAAATGAAGGAATATAGGGATAGACAAGGGCTGCGAGATTTGTTTTTGTTGTTGTTTTGATTTATCATTTCAGCCTCTTAACATAATTAATTTTTAAATGTGCGGCAAAAGCTTAATGTGCTAGTGCCTTAAATCTAGGTTTAAGTAACGCTGACAGGGGCTTCATGTTCCACAAATGATTTATACCGATCTATGATATGATCTTTTTAAAATCATTTAACCTACATTCTTATATACATACATGATATATGTATAGATGAAGCCAACGCCTGTCGGCTAAATTAAATACTTAAAGGCTACACAAATGTATTGTATCCTGTTGAGCTATTCAGCTAGACTCATTTGTTCAGTGACTGGTGCCGCCTGCCTCGGATGGAAAGCCCTCTGCCTCATTGATTAGAGCATATTCGAGAATGACGCGGCCCTCTTTATACCTGTCAAGGAGACAACATGAACGATCATCAAAACAAATACATAGCGGGCTAAATTTGATGGATTTTACTTTTGCGTCTCCTCGGTGGCAAATTCATACATCCAGCCAAGCTTTGCACCGCAATTCTTGCACATTACATCGCGCACCATATGTCGACCAGTGAGCATCACGCGCTCCTGAATGGCACTGAAAGTCAGGTTGACAACGCGCTTGAATAAATAAGCGCGACCTGCAGAAGCATAAAAGTATCAAATATAACAGGGGGAACACGGGAGTATAAGAATGTGATTGGATCTCCTACCTGTGGCGCCTGTGAATCGTGTGCTAATCAATTGGCTGCGATTCGTTAAGTTCGTATGACATTGGGCGCAATTGAAGAGCTTTAGCCCACCCAAATGCTCCAGAAAGATGCGACCCATAATTTGCCTTTGACAAATTGCTCGTTTACCTGTCTTTAATTACACAGCCTCTGTGTGTGAGTGAGTCCGTGTGTGTGTGTGTGTGTGCGTACTTTTCTTTGTTTGTTGACGCTGTGTGTAGAAATTGTTGTTATACAAAATGAGTTATTACTAAATATTTTGCTAATGTGCAAATCTTTTTTTTTTTGTTATTTTCTGCTAATTGCAAAACTTACAGCTGTTTGACCTTTTCTGCGCCGAACGCACAAAATACCAATATAAATGCTAAAGTTAGCAGGTCCTGTAGCACAATTGAGCGTCGTTAGATATGGCTTAGACTATAACACGCTAATTGCGACGCCTGACAATAAAAATCCAAAAAAAGGAAAATAAAGAAAACAGCGTAGCAATAACAATGCAACGCTTGCTAGGGCTGACGCACAGCTATCGTATATAAATATCGATAGTGGAATAATAGCTGATTATTTAAAGTCAATTATTAAAAGCTCAATCTAAGACTGGGCGCACTTAGAATTAGGCAGAGCATTTATAATTAAACCTTTAAATTGCTTAAAAGCTGTTTATGGTGCTGATCGATTATAATTGATTATGCCATCGTATATATACCATACTCGATAGTGCTGGTATTTTTGCAGCCCTGGTAAACAGCTGTTCACTACACGTGATTGTGCAATTGTTGATGCTGGTGTTGTTGTTGTTGCTGTAAGCGGCAGCCAGCACACGCTGCTCCTAAATAATTTTGTAAATAAATTGTATTATCAAAAATTCGAGTATGATGTGCAAACGATTTTACAAAATTCAAAAATAAAAAACAACTTTCTTGGCCCCCAATCCTAACAATATGGAATCCCAAGACTAATTGCGTTTGAGGAGACCATGCTAAATTTCAGACTTCAAGCAATTTGCTGTTGACAACAATTTGTATATAACGGTATAAATAAAGGAAAAAGGAAAAGAAAAATATGCAACTCCCGCGTCGAAAACTGCGCATACTGCTCACCCTCGGTAAATATACCATATATCGTCATGCGACAACCGGCGCTGGATCTGGGGCTAGTGTTGGCACTGGCCGGACTGTAGCGCTGCAAAAGATGCGTGAATGGCATCGCAATGCGTTCAGCAATAAGTTTTTGCTTTTCACCAATGTGGGCATCTCGTTAACGCTCAGCTCCTTAGGCGATGTACTCGAACAGCAGCTGGAGCTGTACAACAAAGAGATTGAGGAATACAGCAGCATACGTACTCGTCACATGGCAACCAGCGGCGTGGCCGTTGGCATCATTTGCCACTATTGGTATCAGCTGCTGGACAAGTATCTTCCGGGCCGAAGTATGCGTGTGGTGGCCAAAAAGATTGTGTTGGATCAATTGATATGCTCACCATTGTACATCTCAGCGTTCTTTGTGACACTTGGCATACTGGAAAAGAAGGAGGCGCACGAGGTGTGGGAGGAGATCAAGGAGAAGGCCTGGAAGCTGTATGCAGCTGAATGGACCGTTTGGCCGGTGGCACAATTTGTTAACTTCTACTGGATACCCACACATTATCGCATTTTCTACGATAATGTCATTAGTCTTGGCTATGATGTATTCACATCAAAGGTGAAACATTCGCCTTCCACACATATGCCATCACCAGCCGCCCCGTCTGTGAAAATGTTGAAGACGCAACAGGCTTAACTTAGTTAATACTTTAGTTTATTGCCTTTTATGCCTCTATTTCTCTATCTTATTCTTTAATAAATTCAGATATGTATATATTGTATATACGCATGAGTTAGTAAGTTAACTGTTTTGCTCTCTACTCTCTTGTCTCTCTACTCTGTCTGTCTGTGCGGCTGTCTGCCTGTCTGTTAACTAATCCATCAAAAAGTCGGCGTGCAACTTTCAATATTTGTTTGATGCAATTGCAAGTTGCAACCGGTTCCTCATGACACGCCCAGACGCCTTAATTGATGCTGATGAATTGAGCACAATGACCGCCTGTGCCGAAAAAAATTTATCTATTGCAATTAAATTCTTGTTTGGCAATTCAGCAATCAGCTAAGGAACCTTTTTCACAGCTTTAGATGTGCATGTTAATGACGCAGATGAAACGCGCACGTTTGCTGATAACTGTCTGTGGCTGGCTAGCTAGCAACACGCCATGCCACGCCCTATTTATATTAAAATATACATATATGTATACATATATATATTTATATATATTCATATGCAAATATACTTATGTGTATGATAAGCGCCCATCAGTTGCTAGCTAATTAAAAAAGATTAGACTGAGTTAAACAAGTTTGTAACTGCCGCATCCCATTTGAAAACGTTATCAGCGCCACTAACCAGAGAACACATAGACTAGACATCTAGAACAAATTTTTTCACCGGCGAAAAAATGCGCTGAGGAGACTACACAACTTCGTATTTGCTCGGCTCAGTCTCTTGAGGCTCAAGCATTGAAAATAAGGCAAGACAAAATCAGTGTGCTGCGAGCGCTGCCACGAAATGCACGCATTACCAAATGAAGCACGGGTATGCGCTCTTTTTCCCTTGCTCACTCTCTCCCTCTCTTTATGCTCTCTCTCTATGGTCTCTCGAATGGCAGCAGCGCACAAAAATTGAAAATTGTTCGCGACGATCTGAGCTCGTTCCTTTTGAGTGAAGGGTATACCGAAATTTGTAAAGCGTTCGCCACGTTCATGCAAACAAAATGTAAGCGTTTCGATGGTTATTCGTGGGAAGGGTATGAAAGCGTTGATACGCATAAACAATATGATTTCGCGACGGGCAAGTACACACACACTTGTAGTCCCTTGCTTCATGTATGAGCATTTGTGACCTGCGTGCGTTACTCTTGCTGCTTGTAGCAATTTTAAAGCCCAGCATTTGCATTTGGTCGGTCTTATGGACTGTCATAACCACTTTACACAGATGTACAATGTATGAACATACATACATACATACATATGTACATAAGTACATTTATATATTATTATTGCTAATCATGTTTATAAATGTGTCTATATATAATTAAAATTATTTTATACACATTTTTAACCGAAAAAATTATCGTAAAACACTACTAACTTTATTAAATGCTTTGCAATATATGAAATACACATGTCATATTATACTCAAGCTTTACTCATTATGCATTATCATTGCATTAAGTCATAATGGCCCATTTGATAGTCACCCTACGATTCAAATCATACAAAATTTACAAAATAATAATTCCAGAGACAATTAGCTTGCCATCCCATACAAGCATACACATACACAAATGCAGACCAACGGCAAATTTTGGGCTTTACAATTTGCACAGCCTGTTCTGCACAGAAAGAATACATTTTCGCGACGAGCATGCACACACACATTTACATCCTTGCTACGTGTATGAGCTTTTCTGTGCGTGCGTCGCGAAACTCAATTCTTTCTCAGTATTTTCGTCTATTATCAGCCCAAAAGTTGCACACATAAAAAATGCTTAGGCGACGACCATGCACACACACATTGTCAGTCCCTCGCTATCATTTGTGTGCTTGTGTAAGCAACTCTATTCTTGCTACCTGCGGCAGGGTTTGAAAGTATTGATGCCCATGTAAATGTGTGTGTGCATGCTCGTCGCGAAAATGTATTCTTTCTGTGCAGAACAGGCTGTGCAAATTGTAAAGCCCAAAATTTGCCGTTGGTCTGCATTTGTGTATGTGTATGCTTGTATGGGATGGCAAGCTAATTGTCTCTGGAATTATTATTTTGTAAATTTTGTATGATTTGAATCGTAGGGTGACTATCAAATGGGCCATTATGACTTAATGCAATGATAATGCATAATGAGTAAAGCTTGAGTATAATATGACATGTGTATTTCATATATTGCAAAGCATTTAATAAAGTTAGTAGTGTTTTACGATAATTTTTTCGGTTAAAAATGTGTATAAAATAATTTTAATTATATATAGACACATTTATAAACATGATTAGCAATAATAATATATAAATGTACTTATGTACATATGTATGTATGTATGTATGTTCATACATTGTACATCTGTGTAAAGTGGTTATGACAGTCCATAAGACCGACCAAATGCAAATGCTGGGCTTTAAAATTGCTACAAGCAGCAAGAGTAACGCACGCAGGTCACAAATGCTCATACATGAAGCAAGGGACTACAAGTGTGTGTGTACTTGCCCGTCGCGAAATCATATTGTTTATGCGTATCAACGCTTTCATACCCTTCCCACGAATAACCATCGAAACGCTTACATTTTGTTTGCATGAACGTGGCGAACGCTTTACAAATTTCGGTATACCCTTCACTCAAAAGGAACGAGCTCAGATCGTCGCGAACAATTTTCAATTTTTGTGCGCTGCTGCCATTCGAGAGACCATAGAGAGAGAGCATAAAGAGAGGGAGAGAGTGAGCAAGGGAAAAAGAGCGCATACCCGTGCTTCATTTGGTAATGCGTGCATTTCGTGGCAGCGCTCGCAGCACACTGATTTTGTCTTGCCTTATTTTCAATGCTTGAGCCTCAAGAGACTGAGCCGAGCAAATACGAAGTTGTGTAGTCTCCTCAGCGCATTTTTTCGCCGGTGAAAAAATTTGTTCTAGATGTCTAGTCTATGTGTTCTCTGGTTAGTGTCAGCGCTTAATGGTATCGATTACATTGTCTTGTCCTTCGATATATATTGTTCAATTCGATAATTAGTGTCAAAGCTATCGATGCTCGTATCTCTAAATATACGAGCAGCTTGAATATAACGGATTTTTAAGAAACTTCAAAGCTCATACACATTTTATAAATGCAATAATTATATTGTTATCCGTATACAAATATATACAGTTTAATTTATAATGTTTTTATTCGTATATAAATCTAATATATGTATAAATCAGCGCAGCCCATTCGAAAGTCTTATCTGCACAGCTATGGGCGTATAAATCTAAACTGTATACACACATTAAAATCATATATATACATACATACAAATATGTATATACATATATATCCATTAATGAAACAGCTATCTCTAACAATGACTGAAGAGCGCTTATCAATTCTCATGACATTGATAATGAAAAATTGGTTTGTGCGAAACGAAGTGAAAGCAAAATGAACTATAATATAGCCATTAAAGAATGTGCAGCTTATTAAAAAAAAAAATGTGTATAGTAAAGCCTCCCTTGGCGGAAAGGCTCAGCTTTTCTGTAAAGTGCATAAAAACTGATTAACATTTAAAATGTACATGTACATTTTAATCAACTCATATAATAATATTATAATTTTATTTTATTCTCAATATATTGTTTTTATAATATAACTTATTTAATGTAAAGATTCAATTTTGTTTAAAGTTTAAATAAATGTTTTAAATTCCTCTAAAATTAAAAATGTAATAAATCTACACTATTTGTTTTATTACAAATAATAAGTACAAATACTTACTTAATACATGTTTCTGATATTTGAGTAAATGGAACAGACAGACACACAACTAAATTTGTTCTCACTAGTTGGGCTCTACTGTACTTATTTTTAATACTGACAACGACCTTGATAACGCACAGATAAGAAAGACTACCCGCAATTGCTGAAGCTCTGCAGATAAACTTTTTCTTGATTTGCTTTTAGGCCCAGCAACAGGTGAGCAAGTGGCAAAATACATATATAAATATGTATGTACATAAATTTATACGCCTTCTTGTTGTTGCCTTGGGTTTTTGGAAACGATATTTGCATATTTAGTTTGCTCCAGCAGGCTTGGGTTGATTGTAAACCGGTTTTGGTTAAAATTAATTTCTTTTTTGTAAGCCTTTTATTTTTTGGCAAGAAGAAGCAAGCACAATGGGAGCTTAGCAACTGAACAGGCCCCCGAAATTAATGAGAGCTAACAAAAACTATTGATCGAGCAGTGTTATGGCAATTGCTATTCGGCGTTTTTTTTCTATTTTTGGGAATCAATTAATTTTTAATCATCTTAACATCTTTGCATCATGATGTACTTTTGCATAGCCCTTGCGCTTCATCTATATTGCCATTGAATTCCTATTTTTTATATCAATTTGCATCGAATTGGATTTGGCTCACCTGTGCGTATGCGTAATAAATGCGTGAATTTACTGCTGCAAGGCTGCTCTCAATGCTGTAATTTTAACCAAAACCAAAATCAAACACAAACAACAACAAATTTCAACTTGTTTTCGAACTTAATTGACGTTTCGTACAGCGAACAACAAAAACAAGTAAATTAAATGAAAACATTTACAAGAGGCTGACAGCAAGTTGTGCCAACGACCCCCCGCGACCCGCTTAACAGTGCGATAGAGGGCGCGATCGTTAAGAACGCGCGCTGATTGGCCAATTTTCTGGGCTCGTCTGTGATGTGCCTCTCTGCGATAAAAGAAAAAGATAATAAATAGAAGCATACGTACGGTATATATATATATGTACACATGTACATGTTCGGAATAAGCAAGGAAAGCAAGGAGCGCAGGGCAAGTGTGCGACGGGTGCAGTTGATGCGAAGAGCGCGACACACGCGAACAAATTTTTGCGCGTTTTTGTTGCTGTTGCTGTAAAGAGTGGGCAACGCAAATGAAAGAGCGCGCTAGCTTTACAGCAGGCGAACAGGTACTGGATACATACATATGTATGTATGCATGTATTTATGTGTGCTTGTGGGCAAATATATGTATGTTGAGTTATTTGTGGCTGGTTGATCGACTACTTTGTTGGCTGAGCAGATTCTGGTATTGTTTTTAGGGT